AAAGACTTATACATAGAAAACTATAAATCACTGATGAAAGAAATCAAAGAGAACACAAACAGATGGAGAAATATACTGTGTTCATGGATTGGAAGAATCAATATTGTCAAAATGGCTATACTACCCAAAGCAATCTATAGATTCAATGCAATCCCTATCAAGCTACCAACAGTATTTTTCACAGACCTAGAACAAATAATGTCACAATTTGTATGGAAATACAAAAAACCTCAAATAGCCAAAGTAATCTTGAGAAAGAAGAATGGAACTAGAGGAATCAACCTGCCTGACTTCAGACTATACTACACAGCCACAGTCATCAAGACAGTATGGCACTGGCACAAAGACAGAAATATAGATCAATGGAACAGAATAGAAAGCCCAAAGATAAATCCATGAACCTATGGTCACCTTATCTTCGACAAAGGAGGCAAGGATATACAATGGAAAAAAGACAACCTCTTTAACAAGTGGTGCTGGAAAACTGGTCAACCACCTGTAAAAGAATGAAACTAGAACACTTTCTAACACCATACACAAAAATAAACTCAAAATGGATTAAAGATCTAAATGTAAGACCAGAAACTATAAAACTCCTAGAGGAGAACATAGGCAAAACACTCTCCGACATAAACCACAGCAGGATCCTCTATGACCCACATCCCACAATATTAGAAACAAAAACAAAAATAAACAAATGGGACCTCATGAAACTTAAAAGCTTTTGCACAACAAAGGGAATTATAAGGAAGGTAAAAAGACAGCCCTCAGATTGGGAGAAAATAATAGCAAATGAAGCAACAGACAAAGGATTAATCTCAAAAATATACAAGCAACACCTTCAGCTCAATTCCAGAAAAATAAATGACCCAATCAAAAAAGGGGCCAAAGAACTAAACAGACATTTCTCCAAGGAAGACATACAGATGGCAAAAAAACACATGAAAAGATGCTCAACATCACTCATTATCAGAGAAATGCAAATCAAAACCACAATGAGGTACCATTACATGCCAGTCAGGATGGCTGCTATCCAAAAGTCTACAAGCAATAAATGTTGGAGAGGGTGTGGAGAAAAGAGAACCCTCTTACACTGTTGGTGGGAATGCAAACTAGTACAGCTGCTATGGAAAACAGTGTGGAGATTTCTTAAAAAACTGGAAATAGAACTGCCATATGACCCAGCAATCCCACTTCTGGGCATACACACCGAGGAAACCAGATCTGAAAGAGACACGTGCACCCCAATGGTCATCGCAGCACTGTTTATAATAGCCAGGACATGGAAGCAACCTAGATGCCCATCATCAGATGAATGGATAAGGAAGCTGTGGTACATATACACCATGGAATATTACTCAGCCATTAAAAAGAATTCATTTGGATCAGTTCTAATGAGATGGATGAAACTGGAGCCCATTATATAGAGTGAAGTAAGCCAGAAAGATAAAGACCATTACAGTACACTAACACATATATATGGAATTTAGAAAGACGGTAACTTTAACCCTATATGCAAAACAGAAAAAGAGACACAGATGTATAGAACAGATTTTTGGACTCTGTGGGAGAAGGCGAGGGTGGGATGTTTCAAGAGAACAGCATTGAAACATGTATATTATCTAGGGTGAAACAGATCACCAGCCCAGGTTGGATGCATGAGACAAGTGCTCGGACCTGGTGCACTGGGAAGAGCCAAAGGGATCGGGTCGAGAGAGAGGTGGGAGGGGGGATCAGGATGGGGGATACATGTAAATCCATGGCTGATTCATGTCAATGTATGACAAAAACCACTACAATATTGTAAAATATTAGGCTCCAACTAATAAAAATAAATGAAAAATAATAATAATTTAAAAAAAGAACTAAAAGCCCTGTGATGAAAAATTTTGGATGTATGTGAATGTAACATATGAATTGGATAATAGTACTGTGTCAATATTGATTTCCTATTTGGATAGTTGTGGTTATACAAGAAGTGCCCTTATTTTTAAGAAATAGATACAGGCATATTTAAGGGTGATTATATCTACAATTTGATCTCAGATGGTTCAGAAAAAAAACAATAAAGAATGAGTATGCATGTGTGAATATGTATTAATGTGTGTTTTTGTTCAGTTGCTAAGTCATGTCCAACTCTTTGCAACCCATAGACGGCAGTATTCCAGGCTTCCCTGTCCTTTGACTACCTCCTGGAGTTGGCTCAAACTCATATCCATTGAGTCAGTGATGCCATCCAACCATTTCAACCTCTGTCCTCCCCTTCTCCTCCTGCCCTCAATCTTTCCCAGCATCAGTGGCTTTTCAAATGAGTCAGCTTTTCATATCAGGTATCCAAAGTATTGGAGTTTCAGCTTCAGCATCAGTCCTTCCAATGAATATTCCGGGATGATTCCTTTAGTATCTGATCTCCTTGCTGTCCAAGGGACTCTCAAGAGTCTTCTCCAACACTACAGTTCAAAAGTATCAATTCTTTGGCGCTCAGCTTTTTTATGGCTCATCTCTAACATCTGTGCATGACTACTGAAAAAAGCATAGCCTTGACTATCTGGACTTTTGTTGGCAAAGCAATGTCTCTCCTTTTTAATATGCTGTCTAGGTTTACCATAGCTTTCCTTTCTAGGAGTAAGTTTCCTTTAATTTCAAGACTGCAGTCACCATCTGCAGTGATTTTGGAGCTCAAAAAAAGAAAATGTCACTGTTTCCACTTTTTTCCCTTCTATTTGGCATGATACATACATACCTCTGTGTATGTATGCATTAACTTTTGTTCCCTCCAGAAACTGAGATTCTAATTGCCACTCCAACCCAACAAATTCTTAAAAAGTTTCAGTATTCTTCAATTTTTGTATAATTTATAGCAATGCTACACTAAATATAGCTTTGATTCTGAAAAATCAAAATTATTAAACAAGGGGCTAGGAAACTCCTAGTCTTTTCTCCAAGGAATAAGAAAACATATATCAATATCTCTCTGGAATTGACCTATGAGTTTAGAAATTAATTATGTTGTATTCTACTGGAGATTTTTTCATAATCCTGTATGTCTTCTGATTCAGAGAAAGGAAGCATTGACTGTTAAAATATAAACACTATGGGTCTTCCCAGTGCACCAGCCCCGAGAGCTTGTCTCATGCATCCAACCTGGGCTGGTGATCTGTTTCACCCTAGATAATATACATATTTTGATGCTGTTCTCTCAAAACATCCCACCCTCGCCTTTTCCCACAGAGTCCAAAAGTCTGTTCTATACATCTGTGTCTCTTTTTTTGTTTTGCATATAGGGTTAAAGTTACCATCTTTCTAAATTCCATATATACGTGTTAGTATACTGTATTGGTCTTTATCTTTCTGGCTTACTTCACTCTGTATAATGGGCTCCAATTTCATCCATCTCATTAGAACTGAGTCAAATGAATTCTTTTTAATGGCTGAGTAATATTCCATGGTGTATATGTACCACAGCTTCCTTATCCATTCATCTGATGATAGGCATCTAGGTTGCTTCCATGTCCTGGCTATTATAAACAGTGCTGTGATGAACATTGGGGTGCACGTGTCTCTTTCAGATCTGATTTCCTTGGTGTGTCAGGATGGGGTGGGGAGGGAGATGGGAGGGGGGATCGGGATGGGGAATACATGTAAATACATGGCTGATTCATGTCAATGTATGGCAAAAACCACTACGATATTGTAAAATAATTAGCCTCCAACTAATAAAAAATAAATGGGAAAAAATAAATTAAAAAAAAAGTAAAAAAAGAATAAAATAAAATTATTAATACATGTGTGCCTTTGAATACTATAGAAAATTGACTTTATGCAATATAGTTTTCCTATAGATTGGCGCCATCATTTTATATGGAAGTCGGCACTGCAAATAATTTTAAGTAAAGATTAAAGAACATAGGACATTTAAAAAAATAATAATAATTTCATGGCTGCAGTTATGGCCTTTGGGAAGGACTCATGATTGCAAACTAGGGGCAGCATCTCCAGCCATCACTGCATACAAAGCTATGTCCAGAAGGAAAAATTTTCCATCCCTGTCTCCTTTCTATTACCTTCCTTCCCCTTTAGCTAAGCATTTGTTGTAGATGGTGATTGTTCTCTTATTGTTTCTTTTTGAAAATAAAAATAAATAACTAGGAAAAAAACACTATGGGAAAAAGATGATCAATAGAATATAGAAAAATAGGAGATGTAAGTCAAAACAACATTGTTTAAATAAAAAACAGTTCTTATTCTTTTACTTTTGTTTCTGTTTTATTTTACTGGTATATGTCACATTCTTTAAAACTTAAGTTTACAGACCTTACTTTCATTACAGTGTATATAGGATAGAAGGAGCCCTGAAGCATAAATATTTTAACTTAGCTAAAGATATTCAAACATAAATAGTACTCATTGGGATTATTTATAGACATTTGGAAACTAGTTTATAAAATGCCAAAAATTTATACTAAACTAAGGTAAATTCCAAGTTAAGTCATTTTGCAGTAAATGAAAGATAATATCAGCCAAGTAATAACACACCTAGTTACATACTCATGTTTATTCTTTAGTTCTTTTTGTCAAGGTTTTTGAATTCCATGTACCCATTAATATATATTTATATTTATCCATATATGCATTTAAATGTATATGTATATACCAAATATACTAATAAATGGGGGAAAAAAGAGACACAAATTTAAAGAATTTGGAGTGTTTGATTATTTTTATTGAGGCTCAACAACTTGAGCAATTTGTGTGTACCTACACCATTCTCATAGGTTATAGCATTGTGTAATATTTATAATAAAGAAAAAAGGAAAGAAAATATTAAAGAGATAATGTCACAGAAAAAAAAATCTTTCTTGCTCTTTCATACTAAGATCTCAGTAATCATGTGAACCTGATCATGCTCTTTTGTATGATTCATTCTCTACTAGTTTAAAATGAAGAAGGTGAGGAAGGATGGAAGAACACTTCAATCTTAGATGTTAAGAAAATTCTTCCTAGGCCTCTGTTCGGAACTTCAGTGTAGACCCCTTCATTTGCTGCTCATAGTGCATGTCAAATTTCTCATTCAGGGCCACAGTAAAGTGATTCTTCCAGTCTCCTACAATTCCTATAACAGAAAAGAAAAGAAAGCAGTAAACACTATGTCTTCCAGTCAAAATAGTGAAATTTTCTAATATCTATCACTTTCATTAACACCTAATCAAATTTTATTTTTGCATCCCTTAATTATAAGTATATACCATAAATACTATATATTTGAGAGTGCAAACAAGGATTTGTCCTGATTGCTTAAAAAAAATAAACATGCAAAAAACCCGAGCACATTTATTTCTCTCTGACCTTCCTATCTTATGCTACTTATTTTCTTCTCCAATTTCCTTTGAAATATTTGTGATCCATGTTTGACCTCTCCTGTGGTATTAAATATCATCTTCATGTTGATAACATTAAAATCCAGACTTATGTCTTCATACCCAAGTGCCTACCTGATGTGGCCACCTGTATTCCATAGGAACTCTCAAATTCACCCAGTTTAAAGACAAATTCATTTTCTTCCCCACCAGATTGCATTTTTTTGTCATTTTCCATAACCTGGTTAATTGAATGCAGATATCCACTGCATAAACTAGGCTGTTTCCTTTAGGCCAGAATATCTAATTCTTTATTTATATTCAGACTTTCTTCATAGCCATTGCCTCCTCCCCATTTTACTGTCAACAACAGTTGGAGAAGCTCCTCAATATTTCCCACCTGTGCTGTTACGAAAGTCTAGCAGGCTCTTTGCTTTTCATCACATCCACCTCTCCTCTGACGGGAGGAAGTCACTAGTACTTTCAATTAATCAGTCGTTCACTTGTCCTCTTAATCCAAGGAGCTCTAAACCTTCCCAATGAAATAATCCAAAAAGCAGAAGATAGAAAACGTATCTTGAAAATCAGATTCTGTCTGAGTATGCAATAGTATGAAACACTTTACAAGCATGGAAATTATTTTTAGCTTGTTGTTTTATCTTAAAAATATATGAGATATTATAGGGAAAGAAACTGAGATAATCTGAGTATAAGTAACCTAAATTTAATCTGCATGTTATTCCCTTTTCAGGGGTGCTCTGTTTTAACCTGGTTGCAGGTTTGCTAATCCAATTGTTTAAAAAAAATCCCTAACCCTCTCATTGACAAGTTGGTTCCAAGAGAAAGATTATTCTTTTATTTTATTTTATTATTTTATTTTTTTTCTTCCAGGAGGAAGATTATCCAAGTAATATTGGATGTCCCAATACTTTGCATATCCTTTATGCCTATGTACTTATGAACTGACTGTATCTCATCAAGACCATGCCTCTTCCCATTAGATGTCGCCTCATTGTATTTTGATATTTTTACCAAGTTGAGCAGTATTTTCTGCTTAGTGCTTTGAAACTTAGTGCTTTTTTAGCAGCTTTGTAGAAGTATAATCCATACACAGAAAACTGTACATATTCGATGCGTACAATTTGATGCTTGGACATTTGACATTTAGTCTTGAAAAATGTCTGGCACTTAGCTAGGGAAGAGCTGACTAACTGCTCTAAGGTTGTTTCCTCATCTCAAAATGAGATAATAGTAGTTTTTTTCCCAACTCTTGTATTAGAATTTAAAAATAAATAGAATTTACAATTTGTATAATGTATGTGTGTATCAGTAAGGCATAAAGACTTAACAAATAACAGCTAGTAGGGTGTGGTATTAGTGCTACTACTGAGGCTGGGGTGACTGCTGGTGGTTCTTAATATAATTTGTTGTATGCACCAAACAATCAACATGTAATAGTAATTTAGTAGCAGTAGTAGTATTTTATGCTTCTGCAAAACTAGTCAATTACTATTAGTAATGTTTCTAATAGTAATTTATTAATAGTAGTATTCATATTTTATACTTCTGCAGAACTGATGACTCAAATATGGAAACAGCTCTGAAGAAAACAAGTGGGGTTCACAGGCATGAATAGACTTTAATAGCTGTTTGCCTGTAACTGTTTAAACTTAGGTCTTCCTGTAGCAATGGAGGCATATAACATGACCATCTCACCTTTTCTCATGAAGGGAGATACTTTATGGTTCATGATTTCATCCGGTAGTGTTTCATAATTGGTAGATGGATTGTTCTTCATCTCCTGGAATGAAGTGTGTTTTATAATCTTGTCCACAATCTCATCTGATGTCTCCTTTCCCAGAAATTTTATCAATTTCATCACCTCTTTTCTGATATCCTAAGAAGAAAAACATATTTTGTTTTTGAGGACAACTACTAAAGACAATTGTAATTGTCTATTATGTCTTTAGTAAGACAATTACTCAAATTGAATAATATTACTTTGGGGATAAAAAAGACACAATAAGAAACTCATTCTTCCCTTCTTCTCCCCACACTGATATTGGAAAGCAGGCTTCTAATGAGAAGCTTACCTGTCAAACTTCAGCTTAAGTATCACCTTCTTTGGGATTATTTCCTTGACTATTCCAATTTAAGTTAGATATTTTTGATCCATAATTTCCATATAAATCTACTGTATCATATACGTATCCTCACATGTTTTTTATTTACTTGTTTCCACAAAAAAGATAGTATCTCTCTATATAAGGGTAATGTCTTTTACTTTTACTTGATGTATTGCAGAAACAAGAGAAAACATTTATTCTTTTCTCCTCATTCATGCAAATAGAGAAGAAACATAAACCTGGCCATTATTGATCAAAATAGGGCATAAATGGATAAGGACAATTTGGGAGGGTGAAAGAGATGGATTAACTAATAAATTTTGTTCGTGTGCCTTTTAAATTTACTGCCTTCAATATTCTAGTTAGAGAACACAAATTTAAGTAATATAATAGCAAACTACAAATCATGGTTGCTTCTCATTCAAATCTGTTCTGCATTAAATTCTATAAAGTAATAATTCTGATTCTAAAATAATACCCATAATTCTATTTTAAATATGTCCTCATCAAAACAACTCTAGAATTACTGAAAAATGAATTTCAATAATTGCACAAAGATGTGAACAAGACATGGATATCAATTGCTTTCTTGGTGCTAATAAAGAATGAGAGAAGAGGGCTTCCCTGGTGGCACAGTGGTACAGAATCCACATATGAATGCAGGAGACACGGGTTCAGTCTCTGATCCAGAAGATCCCACATGCCGTGGAACAACTAAACCCATGTGCCACAGCTATCAAGCACGTGTGCTAGAGCCTGGAAACTGCGACCACTGAGCCCACATGCCCCAGAGCCCATCCTCAACAAGAGAAGCCACTGCTATGAGAAGCCTAGCCATCTCAATGTAGAGTAGCCCCTGGTCGCCACAACTAGAGAAAAGCCTGAGCAGCAATGAAGACCCCGCACAGCCAAAACATAAATATATATATATATATATATATATAAAATAATTTAGAGAATATATTTGTTATCCCTTACTCCGGTACTTTGGCCACCTCATGCAAAGAGTTGACTCACTGGAAAAGACCCTGATGCTGGGAGGGATTGGGGACAGGAGGAGAATGGGACGACAGAGGATGAGACGGCTGAATGGCATCACCAACTGTATGGACATGAGTTTGGGTAAACTCAGGGAGTTGGTGATGGACAGGGAGGCCTGGCGTACTGCAATTCATGGGGCCACAGAGTCGAATACGACTGAGCGACTGAACTGAACTGAACTGAATAAAAAGATCTAGTATTTTGTCTTTCATTTAAAAATTATTTGATATGTGTACATATATACTTTAAAGAATAAATATAAATGCAGCACCCTTACTTACTACCCAACGCATGTAAGAAAACATTCATAATTGGCTAAGTTCTTCCATTTGCAAGTTCCCAACTTCATTTTTTCACTCTCTATTCCAATTTTCACAAACAACAACAACAAACAAACTTGCTGTCCTGAAATTGATCTACTCAATCCTGTGCCTTTACTCTGTAGATCTGAAACTCATGTATGTATCCCGAGACAACATATGGCTTGGTTTTACTCAACTGATAAGCACATTTGAAATGTATTCCTTTTCACTGAAATATAATATTTAATTGTAGAATAATAGTATATACAATGCATTGATTCCTGAGTATATGTGTATTTGGGTTGTTTTTATGGTCGTGTGGAATGCTATTATGGAGTGTGCTGTGCATATAAACTAATATACACATCAGTGTTTCTCATGAATATATCTACTAGTGGAATTTGTGAGCCTTAATTTGCCCTCCCTAGGTGACATGTTGATTTCACAATGTTTGTATATTCTTTTACTCTGATCAGAAGTGTGTTGCTTCTCACTAAGGCACATCCTGACTGGCATTTATTGTCAGACTACAGCTAGACTGGGCTTCCGGTGTAGCCCAGCTGGTAAAGAATCTATCTGCCTGCAATGTGAGAGACCTGGGTTTGATCCCTAGGTTGTGTTGGGAAGATCCCTCAGAAGTGGGTATGGCAACCCACTCTAATATTCTTGCCTGGAGAATCCCCATGGACAGAGGAGCCTGGCGGGCTACAGTCCCTGGGGTCGCAATGAGTCAGATATGACTCAGTCAGATATGACTCACAGCGCAGTCAGACGACATCTCATTGTTGTCACTCTGCTGGGTGTGAAATATAGCACCTCATAGACATTTTTATTTTGAATTACCCTGATTATTAATGAAGCTAGAAAAAAACTAGATTTTTCAGAAATTGTGATGTCATCCTACATTTGCATATGGCTCTTCTGGCATTCTCTTTACTCTCTTCTGGAAGTTTGACTTGATACATGTAAGATGTTATTACTCTATCCTACAAATCCATTACTCTCTTTCTAAAATATTCTATTTATCTCACTGAGGTACACCCTGGGGACTTTCCCCAGCATCATGTGCCACATTACTAATTCACTATTTAGCCACATCTTATCTGTTACTTAAGCCATCTTTTTGCTTTTCAAATTTTAATTTTTAGAAGTTATTTTAGAAATTCTGGTTTGCTGCTCTTTTTCCCCTCCAAATCTGCTTTGTCAATTTTAGTAACCTCTTGTTTCTTTGTAAGATTTTAAATTTCTTCTTTTATTTTTTTAAACATGTGAAGTATAACTATTTTATGGTCCTTTCCTAATAATTCCATTATCTATGGATTTAGAAACCAGTTAACTCTTCATGCCCATTGTGATTCCTTTTGTGCACCTGCATCAGTGTGTGTATGTGTGTGTGTGTGTGTGTGTGTGTCTGTGCGTGTAGTATGTGGCTGTTGCTTTAAGAACTCAAACTCTTTCCACTTTTATCTTTGGTAGTTTTCTTTGAGACTTGAGTTTAAATGTGTTCATTTACAGAAGGCTTTTATTCACTAGCTTCAATCTGTAGTAGAGTATCTGGATTATTGTAACTTTTGGAGTTGGCTGCATTATTTATTTGCAGGCAAAATTTTGTATCCACATTATTGTCAAATGCTAACATTTTGAGATTTATGAAGTTGCCATATATTTTGAGTTTCTCACCTCCTTCATGTCTTCATAGAAAAGAAATAGCACTTGTGGATTCTCTCTCTTTTCCCACCAAGATTTTGTGTGTTTATACCAGGAACCATAAGGAACTAAAATCAGAGACAAAAACAATGTGAGGACATAGCATCAACTCTACACTCAGACTCAGCTTAAAAATGAGTCTTCAGAGGAAAAAATACAAATAAATGATCGTGAAATGAAAACTAGAGATCAGCTGCCCATCTGAGGCAAATTTATCTGCAGGAGGTATGTTGAAAAATCTACGTACAGAAATATGGTCTCAACTTTCATTATTATGACATGGTTTATGACTCAGAGGAAAAGTGATGGAAGTCTTTCCATTTGATTTAGAACTTATGAGAGCATTTTTGAAAATGGTGTGTGTGTGTAAAATCAGGTTGTTAATGAAAGGAGTTGAGTAGTAGAACTATCAACATTTTTATGATTAGAATGCAGTCCAGATCTCAAATTTACCATTTAAAAGCTAGCTTTGCTAACTGAATAATTTATAATTATAATAATTGTATAATTTTGTTACACTGTTGCAGTTTAAAGAGTAAAGGGTGCTTTCCTAGGGATCCTTAGTTTCTTTCTCACTTTAAAAAGTTAGAAGATTTTGGAGGTGATGTGATATGACCAAATATGGATTCTTCTTTTCTCTCCCTCATCTTCTCTCACATGTATCTAAGTGTTTCACCCAGTAAAAAGTTGACATGGTAATATAATGATGTGTGAGCCAAAGTATTCTGCTTTGCATTAAATCATTGCATATTTCTTTTGTTCTTTGACCCTACTGACAATTATTTTATTTATTTATAGCTAACCTAAAATAATATCAAAAGTGTAAACATAGTGATTCAATATTTGAATAGATTACACACCAAAAGTTAGTATAAAATAGTGACTATATTCCCTATATTGTCCATTACTTTCCTGTGATGTATTTATTTTATAGCTAGCAGTTTGGACTCTTAATCCCCTTCATTGTTCTGCCCGTCCCCCAGCCTTCTCCCTTATGGTAACTGCGAATTTCTTCTCTGTATCTGTGGGTAGGGCTGCTTCTGTTTTGTCACATTTGTTTCTTTGCAGCAAAATCATATAATGACTTTTATAGCGATCTTATTCATCTATTTTGCAGAGGTACAGCATTATCTTTATCTGTTTCATAATGCATGTTTTGATGATCTTGAGGCATGTAATTTATTCGTGCTTTAGCATAAAATTTTCCAAAGGTAGCAACAAACATAAAGCACATGTACCACACTTTTATTGAGTCAATATTAATTTTTTTTTGGATATAAATCACAGTATTATCCTTTTCCCTACACTTATTATTAAGTAGTCAGAATGGCCATCTTTAATTAATACTAGATTCTTCTGAACACTTTCTTTCTCAAACCTGAATACTCTGTTGCTTTAGTCTGGAGTTAAATAAAAAGACAAAATTTCCCAGAATTTCTGCTCAAGTAACTCTTGTACTATTCTAAGAAATCTATTTGAATTATTCAGACTGTACGGTGGGTAGAATGAGTAAGAATTTTGTAGATATTCAGACTTCTTTGTGATTCTGACCTCATTTAGTATCTGAAATTTTTCTTAAATACAAATGAACAAGTTCTTTCCTCTATCCTTTTTCCTTCTTGTTCAGTGAAGTTATGATAACGCACTGTGAAGTACTTCTGTAATAAAAAGACATGAGAGAGAATTGGACACACACACATACATATATATGCCTACTTGTAGGCACTGTAGTCAAGTGTCCAGATTCTGAACTTTGCCATTCTCATCTGGAAAAACTATGCTTGTTCTAAGTTCAAGGGCTTCTAGAACTTCTGTGTTTTAATTAAGGACCAGGAAGGATAACAGACCAGAACAGAAAGCAAAAATTATCCTCAAAGATGCCATTTGTCTTGTACCATTTACCTTGAAAGAATTCAGAAAAAGAAAGGAACTTTTCATACCTTCTCCATCCATGAATTTCTCCACAAAATCTTGAAAAGAACCAGGATCTGGATTAGCAGTCACCATTAAAAAGAAAAAATAATAAGAAACAGCCACATCCTTGGCATTCCGGGCAAGATAGATGATCTAAGGAAGATGAAATTAGTTATTAAATCATCTACTACGTTTCAAATATAGTCACATCAAGATTTAAAAAGAAAATATGTTTTTAACTGTAAACATAACATGTTTGCTTTAGAAAATTTATAATATATTAAAATTATAAAAAAGGAAATTCCTTCAATAAACTGAAGTGACAACATCTTTTGTATTGCTGTTCAATGTTGGTTTTCACTTTTGATTTTTATGCCATTTTCACATATTTCATTTGAGAGCCTCAAATTCCACTGATATAAATTGGGTGAGGCAGATTATTATCTCTGAATTTTAAGTGAAGAAACTAAATTAAATTTGAGTCTAAATACATGGTTGAGAATTAATCAATGAGAGGAAGCAATCTGGTAAATCATTCAGTCAAAAATAAAGTCCTCTGGCCTTTATACTACACAACCATCCTGCATAACAATTTTAAAAAAGTCCTGCTATTTTCTTATTCACAGTCTTGAAGAAAAGCAAATTTTTATGGGATGCTTAGACCCCCTGATACTCCATGCTTTCCTAGTGGTTCAGCGGTAAAGAATCTGCCTGCCAATGCAGGACGGGGGTTGGATCCTTGGGTCAGGAAGATCCCCTGGAGTAAGGAAATGGTAACCCACTCCAGGATACTTGCCTGAGAAACCTCATGGATAGCGGAGCCTGTCAGGCTACAGTCCATGGGGTTGCAGAAGAGTCAGACATGACCTAGTGACTAAACAACAACTCTCCATTGCAGGAAAAGACCTGCAAAAGTAAACTCTGTCTCTCTATGGTCTTCTCCTTCCTCCTTCAGGCACCTGAGCCATGCCATGGTCTCTGGCAGCTCTTGATTCTCCACTCTTTAGTAGATTTGATAAGGCTCACTAATCTGTCTTATTCAAGTTTCTACATTTTCAAACAATTTTAAAGAAATCTCTTTGAATATTCTAAGTATGGTTTTCTTTTTTTTTTTTTTTCATTTATTTTTATTAGTTGGAGGCTAATTACTTTACATCATTGCAGTGGTTTTTGTCATACATTGAAATGAATTAGCCATGGATTTACATGTATTCCCCATCCCGGTCCCCCCTCCCACCTCCCTCTCCACCCGATCCCTCTGGGTCTTCCCAGTGCACCAGGCCCGAGCACTTGTCTCATGCACCCAACCTGGGCTGGTGATCTGTTTCACCCTAGATAATATACATGTTTCGATGCTGTTCTTTTGAAACATCCCACCCTCGCCTTCTCCCAGAGTCCACAAGTCTGTTCTAAGTATGGTTTTCATTTTTAAGGCCTCACTATAAAAAAGCTCCAAATACTACAGAAAAAGTCAACTTTCTTTCTCAACAAAGCTATCATTGGCCATATGAAACTTTTCCACATTTATTTAAAATTTTCCCTAGCCCTTTTTTCTTATGAGCTGAATAGAGCTCTTTGCCACTATATATATATATATTTATCTCCACAAGTTTGCTTCATCATTTTCATTCCTTTTTTTGTTCATACTCTTCCCTCTGTCTTGAATATTCTCTGCATCTCAAAATACAATCTGTATTAAAGTTTGGCTCCAGGTCATCCATGAAGCTTTTTTTCTCCAATGTACTCTTTTTTTTATTGAGTTATAGTTGATGTACAATATTATTTAAGTTTTAGGTGTACAATACAGTGATTAATAATTTTTAAAGGTTACCTCCATTTATAGTTATTATAAAATATTGATTATATTCCCTGTGTTGTACAATATATCCTTGTAGCTTATTTATTTTATACATAGTAGTTTGTACCTCTTACTGCCCTATTCTTCAAGGTAGGGGAAGGGGGAAGGTAAAAGCAACCCCTCTTTCCTTAAACTTCCATTAGTTTATCTTCTCTCCATTTTGGAAGATTTGATTCTATATGCTAACTTTTCACTGTGCATGCTCTTCCTGCCTTTGAGGAAAATCTAGGTCTTTCCCCTCAGCTCTCTCAAGTCAAAGTTTCTAGTTTGCCCACAATTCACTTGGGATATAATCTATCTTAAAAATCCTACACTTGAAAAAACCCTGTAATAATTCATTCTTCTCCTGACTGAAGCCATTTTTGAACTTATGGTCACTCCCTTGCTTTAACTGAAGATTTGAACATCACACTCATAATATTACTGTCCATTCCTAAGCTTTTCATCATGCTGTGTAGTTTTAGTATCTGTATACATGATCCATCAGATTCTCTAGGTTCTTGGGGTCTTTGATCATTACCTCCATTTTACTTCAGTTAGCAACATTTGTAGCCAAATTTTGAAACTTGTCCAATATCTTAAAGGTTCTGAAGACCTGTCCTTGAGCACCATGATTTCTTCCAAGACAGTTCTGTTTCTTTATCCTTTCTTTCTTAGGATATATCTCTTCCGCAACAACTCCAAAGAGTCAAGTTTACTGACTTCAATTGCTTCTTTTAGCTTGTTCCTGTTTTTCACTCTCTCTTTTTTTTAAACCACTTAAAGTTTCTAGTCCAAAACTCCAAATACACTTTTACCAATAGTTTCAATCCACATATCTTCTTGTCTACCAGTGAATCACCCCAGAAGTACTCAAGTTGTGATTCCATCCAAAGGTCACCTACTCTTTGATGACCCCTGAGATAATAAGCAGGTTTTTTAAGACTGTAGCTATTGTAAAGGTACAGAATCTTTTCATATACAAGTAAAGGGATAACACCAAGACTTCATTCCATTCTTCAAAGAAAAAAAGTAACTTGGCAAAATATCTTGAAAAAATACTGGTCACGCATTTCCCAGAATACATATAAATAGTATTTATTAAAGAGAGAACTCTTATGTATGACTTCAGGAGGATGTATGTGATCTTTCTAGGATTGCTTATGATAAAAGCAAACAAACAAAAAACATTGGAATCTTCAAAAGTTTACACCATGTATCTCTAGTAAATGTCATATATACCATGTTATATCATGGTGAAAGTGAAAGTGAAAGTGAAAGTGAAGTCGCTCAGTGGTGTCCGACTCTTTGCGGCCCCATGGACTGTAGCCCACCAGGCTCCTCCCGTCCATGGGATTTTCCAGGCAAGAGTACTGGAGTGGGTTGCCATTTCCATATCATGGTACAAATGGAAATACTTCATGACTCTGATAGATCCCTTTTTTGTCAATAATGACTACATATAGTACTTTAATATCTCATATGTTTAGTATGGATCATAGAGTGTCCTAATAAAGCTAGTAAGGTCTTGAGAAACATCAGTGGTCTAAGACAATGTTTGGCCTATACTTTAGGATTCCATGTTATTCTTTCTAAAAAGCAAAACTGATCTTACCAATCAGCAGCTTAAATGGCTGTAACTCCTCATTATCATCAAAGTAGACCCCAAACTTCATAAGTTGGCTTCCATATCTGTTACAAACAAACCCAGCTTATCTCCCATCACTCATCCAACCAGTACAGGCACTCAGCCTTCCAGCTAAATTGAACTGGTTTCACATCCCACCTTGGGTTGCCTCAGAGATTATAGAGACTAATTCTTATGCATCCGTCACATATCAGATGAGATGTTACTTGCTTTAAGTTTCCTTCTCTGCCCTCAACGTCTAAGTCAGAATTCTTCCTTTACTTGATTTATGTCACCTTCTATAGTGTCTGTTATTTATCCCTTCCCTCTGTGAACCACGTGTCCATGAAGACAAAGATTACATGTGTCTTTGTTATATTGCTGGCTCATGATAGGCACTCAGTAAATAATTATTCTATTATTTTTGTCTGTTTTTTCCTTGCCTAGCTCATTTGCATGCCTCATAAGGCCAAGCACAACAGTTTGCAAAAAAAGTATATTGACTAAACCTATTAATAATAACAAATAAAAGTAGCCATTGTAGATTGTTTATAACATGTTAGGTACTATGTAGAGCACTTCACAGGCATTAGTTTAGCTAATCCTTACAACAACTCTATGTGAAATACAATTATTAGCCCTCTTTTACAGATGAGGAAACTTCAGCTTCCTGAGAACTTAGAGAGTTTATTTGTTTTTCTGAGAATCAGCTCTGGAGTTAGAACTGAAGTCTAGACCTTCTCACTATGTTATGATCCACATTTTTTTAATGTCTATATATTCAGTGAAGAAATAAATAAACAAGTGTATATAATACACAGGATATTACTTAACTTTATCATTGTAACATTCTTTGACTTGGGTGAAGTTCTAAAACACTTGGCTCTGTTACCTTACAGTTCTTTTCCCAAAACGAGAGTGGAAGAAGCTCAGGAGGCAGGTGAGACTTCACTATTCTAGGAGATGCCATCCCTTTTAATTGTTTTACTCCTAAGTTAAAAAAAAAAAGTTGGACAACTTCCAAAATTATAAATATTTGTATGGATTTTTGTAGATTTTAAAAATAGAAACATCTATACATTCTATATTATGTTCATAATAATGATATGTATTCAGTATGACAGAAGTTTAAATAGATAAAATCATACAGAAAAAAATAGATTAAATAAATTTTCACCACTTTGAAAAAAAAAAATCATTATTAACATTTTGGTAAGCATCCTTCCATACAAGTATATCTATATGCCCAGACTCATAGCCAGATAAATACCAGACAGACAGATGAATTTTTTTAATATTTTGTAGTTGCATTTTTCTTACTATTTTAATGTCAACAAACATGTGATATTATGTTTAATGACTTCATGTCATTTTTACTTTTTGTTGATTAACATTTATATTGTCTCTAATTTTTTACAATAATAAAGGAATCTGTGACAAACATCTTTTTGCATATCCTTGAAAATTTATGGATATGTCTGTAGTGTTTAAAGTATCACTGCATGTATCCCAAGGAGAGATATAATTCTCATATATTACTAGACTCTGATGAAAGCACATCAGAGCTATCCTCATTCACTCTATTCCAAGAATATGCTATACTACAAACTCTGTCAAGATTTAAATTTGTATCCCTTCCTATTTAGAAGATATAATACTAATTGTCATTTAATACTATTGCCAAAAAATACCATTTTGCATACAGTCTTTCTTGTACCATTTACACCCACACATTAAAATATATGTGTATAGCTTTTAAAATTAACTTATGTATTACCATTCATCATCTGGTCATTTCTACATTCCAGGTAAGGAACTCGATTAAAAATGACATCTTTTTTGCACTTTTCCACATCACCATCAGCATAAATCATGCATACAATTTCACTAATCCACGTTGTACCTGAAAAAATTAAACACACCTGAGTCTCCCACTGACAATGCACATTGATAATGCAGGGATCAATGGATTTATAATTGGATAAAGTAAGAAGCTACCAATGAAATAGTATTTGAAAGCTGTCAGAATCACCACAGGACACAAAAACTATTTCCCCTAATATTTACTCTTATAGGATCCAAACATCAAAAGTAAGGATGAACATAGTTGTAATAAAATACACCTGTGATAGAAACTGACCTTGTCAAAGATGAATTGTGATATTGTACAAGCTGATAACATATTTGGATCTAAATATTCACATCTAAAAAGTAAGCATGCTTTCAACCACAGGGTTTCTTGATAGCTTTTATGCCTCAGGTTCAGTCCTAGTACAGAGAATATAGAAAAGAATAAATCTGGTCCTTGTCCTGTGATATTCAAGGGCCTCAGAAGAGTCAGAAACAATGCTCAATAATTGCACTTCATTTTTCCTAGGATGCTGTAATACAGATGCACACAGAGATTTAAAGAACTCCAAAGGAGGACTTTGTGTGCTTCTGCTGTTGCCGTGATGTTTCCACAAGAAATAAATGACTTTAAGAGAACATGGTAATTGAGCTTAGCCTTAACAAATTATTGGCATAAATTCACTAGTTGTGTAAGATAGGAGAGAGGTCTATCAGACAGAAGAACTCTCTCCTTTTTTTAAAATCAAAAGCCAGACATTTATAAACAGTAAAGTGGTAAGGAAATGAATTGGATGTAAATTGCTTCTGTTGTGTCTCTTCTGCAACCCCATGGACTGTAGCCTGCTAGGTTCCTCTGTCCAAGGGATTCTCCAGGCAAGAATACTGGTGTGTTGCCATTTCCATCTCCATGGATGTAGATTATAAAACCTAAATAAGAGGCTACTTGAAGGGATGAATGGAGATGAGGGTGCAGTGTCAAGCAGACACCAAGCCTAACAAAGCCTTGTAATTCATACTAGAGTTCAAGTCATTTCTAAAAGATTTTAAAGGTCAGTGGCATACATCAAGCAAGAAAGCAAGGTTATAAGGGTCATGTTGTGGAAGAATTCCTCTAGTGGCAGAGTAAATAAAATAATGGAGTGAGGGGTCATAAGAAGGTGACAAGAAAATTAGAAATTGACTGTGAGGCATATCTATGAGACTAAAAGGGCAAAACAGATTGATTGATTGAATATAGAAGATGAAGAAGTTAACAGAAACTGATTCTGAAATAGCTCTCATATGTCCTCAACAGGTGACTGGTTTTGTGCTGATTGATCCAGACAGGAAAGAGAACTGAACACGTTAGAGTCAGAATAGCCAAAGATATATTTAATGTTTGACATATTTAAATACTAATTGGAACAACCAGATAGAGAAGTCTGGATTGGACCTTTCTAATTTCTAAAGTTCTAAGATTATAAGACTATGACTAACAAGCTAATTTCAGGAAAAGAGACATTACCTGAAAATAGAGCTTCAGAGATGGACTTTAGAAAGAGGAACTGATTAGCTAAAAAGTGCTAATTTTTTTTTAAGCCATAAAAATTACTTATACTTTGTCTATACAGCAATGACAACAATGACATAACAACAGAAGGGCAATTTTAAATTTTACTGATGGTTCGGTAGTCATCCATCTATATTATGTGACTTTCTTATATGGCCAACAATACTCGTTTATCAGTGTCCTCCTCAAATTATATGTACAGATTGTGGTTGTAGAATAGAGCTATAATATGTCACTACTTTCTATGTATATACCGGAACTTTTATAATCTGTCCCTAGAGAATGGATGTGGGAGAAATGAATGGCTCAATATTTAACGGAAAATGTGGATTTGTCCTTTCTAGGTGAAAAGGGAACAACTTTGACATAACAAAGAGACTTACCAGATTTGGGATAGGTGACAATGACAAGGTCATCTGGTCTTGCCTCAAATTTCTCCACCTCACGCCAATTCTGGATAAATTTTTTATACAGTGGCATTCCACCAATTCTGCCAAAGTAATCTGCATAGGCGGGTTTGGAAGAACTCATGGTGGAGTGGTACACTGAAAGAAAAAAAGGTATGTTTTCCACTTCACATGCACTTTAAGTTGTTTTATATTAATAGTAGTCCGTACATCAAATTTCCCTCGGGTGTCTAGCATTTCTTATATGTTGAGCATATGGGGTAAAGCATATTAAAGTAATGTATAACATAGCCTTGGTGCTTTAAGAGTTTCTAATCCTGTTACTAAGTCTAACATATAAAAAACCAAGTAGTACAAAGCACAAAAAAGTTACGTGTTTTAAAACTATGTACAAAATGCATGATACGTTCAACAGAGCCTTGATTTCTCTGTCAAAACTGATAAAACATATAAAAAGACTGAGATTGAGAAAATGCAACAATATTTTGGCAAAGAATCACCTTAATTAATTCTGTATATATTAAATAACAATAATTTTTGATGGCCACATTTGATAACTATCGCCACATGTCAAAGTTAAAGCTTTCCTTGTTCCTGAATATGTTTCATTCAATGAAAAAAAAAAAATCAAATGCTTGGTGAGTGTATTAAAAAGATGAAAATAATGACACTGTAGTGGATATGTCTAAGACACGGATTCCTGAAGGTACTGAAGATTTTTGTATGACCTCCTAGCATTACTGATACTTTTCTCTCTCACTTAATCAGTAATGTTGACACTCCTATTGAGTAACTTGTGTGAAAATTATAAGGTTAAACACAGTTATCATTGACAGTTCCTGATCCCATGATACCTCATTTCATCATTTCATGTTCAGAGTAAGCCTTAGACTTTTTAATTAGACAAACTTTCCTTTATTGGCTTTCAACTTCTCTCATTACTTTTTTCCTCCATAAAATTCCTCCATTCTGAGTTTGTGATATAGCATCTCAACAAATGTCATCCTTCTTTGATATTACCCTCACAGGATCTCCTTTTATTTTCTTTTAAGACTTGAGGTATTACTGAGTAAAATGAGGCTCACCATGCCAGAGAACTGGGCAATATTCAGTTACAAGATTGTCTCAGGATTGTTGTTACTGTTTAGTAGCTAAACCATGCCCAACTCTTTGCAACTCCATGGGCTGTAGCCCTCCAGGCCCCTCTGTGCATGAGATTTCCCAGGAAAGAATACTGGAGTGGGTTGCCATTTCCTTCTCTAGGGGATCTTAGGGATCTTCCCAATCTTCCTGACCCAGGGATCAAACCCACATCTCTTGCACTGGCAGGCAGATTCTTTCCCACTGAGCCACCAGGAAAGCCCATAGTTTCTGCAGTACAACAAAGTGGATCAGCTATATGTACACATACATTCCTTCCCTCTTGAACCTCCCTCCTATCCCTCATCTCACCCCTCTAGGTCATCACAGAGCACTGAGCCCAGCTCCCTGTGCTATAAAGCAGCTTCCCACTAGTGAACAATTTTACACATGGTGGGGTCTCCCTTTTACCCACCCCTGTCAAAAAAAAAAAAAAAAAAAACCCTGTAGGATAAGTTGTTATATGCTCATACACATGATCGAACCCAGGTGTTCTGTGTCTCCTGCACTGAAGGACGATTCTTTACCTGCTGAGTCATCAGAGATGCCTGTAGCCTGCCAAACTCCTCTCTCTATGGGATTTCCCAGGCAAGAATACTAAAGTAGTAACCATTCCCTTCTCCAGGGGAATGTTCCAGGGATCAAGACCAGGTCTCCTGCATTGCAGGCAGATTCTTTACCATCTGAGCCACCAGGGAAACGTCTAAAAATTTGTATACCAAAGATATTTTATAACTTTTCATGCTTCCGTGTTTCATAAGTTTATTGGTTATTTTAATCATTTTGGTCAATTTTGTAAATCAGGAGTGTTTTTTTTTTCCTAAATGATATATTGTAAGTAATTTATCATTGATTTATAAATTGAAGATATCTGAAGTGTTCCCATCTTGCAAGTTGTTTTTAACTTTTTTAATGGTTTATATAGAAATTTATTGCTCATTTAATCACTAGGGAGAAAAATGTGTACAAAAGGCATTCCTTGTCCTGCCTATTGATTTGTTTATTCATATGAACAACTTTCTTGGTGTTCTGCCAAGTTTGTAAGAACTGGCTTATAGCCAAGTGGGAGTAGCTGATTTATTATCAAAAACAGTTGGCTGACCTCTGACTGACCCTTCAGTTTTAATCTGAGTTAAACTGCGGCTGCTGCTGCTGCTGCTAAGTCACTTCAGTCGTGTCCGACTCTGTGTGATCCTGTAGACAGCAGCCCACCAGGCTCCCCCGTCCCTGGGATTCTCCAGGCAAGAACACTGGAGTGGGTCAGGGTTAAACTAGGTGGCATGTAATAAAATCCCTTGCTTTGTTTAGCTTCTTTTAGTAAGTATTCACCTCCAGCTGCTTTCTTCTTTCTCAAAAGACATAGTTCAGTTTGAAATTGTCAACTTCATTCCCTAACTGAGTGTATAGGGTGCTATTGTCTAGAAACACTGACCGAAAATTATTAGAACTGTGATTCATAAATTCAGTTGAGGGAAGAAATATGTTTCTTCTTTTCTTTGTATGTATTTCTTCTTTCCTTCCTCTTTCTTTCTCTCTTTTTCCATCTTCCCCTCCTCCACTGCCCAGTCTGCCTTTCATTTGGTGAGAATACTGTGTGTGAGTCCCTCTGCTGTTACCAGACAGTGATAAGTGCTAAATAGCAGGATGAGGATAGATGCAAAGGGCTTGTTTCAGCCTCACCTTCTACAACTTAATTTGGATTTGAACAAAGTGGCTGAAAGGAGAGAATATCCTTTTGGACAATATTCTATCCAGAACCACAGCACTGTGTCACAAAATAGATGCTAAAAAGTCCTCATTGAATTCAATTGTTTTATTGTTAGATCAAATCTCCTCGGGCTTTCTGTATCCACTAACGATTCCTAGATGAAACAGACACTGTCAACTACTTACCACGGACTTGGATTTCTGCTCGTAAAGGTCAAATGTCTCTCACTTAAAAGTAACAGTAATATTTGCAAGTTCCCTGTTAGTAATAGATTGCTTCTGACATATTTCACAGAAGTACGTATAACTAGAATTCAGTCTCCACTTTAACTTTTCTACTCTGCTTGCTTTGTTCTCACTTCAGTAAAATAGAGAACATGTTTAACATGCAGGATTTACAAGGCAACTATGATACTATAGTTTTATGTTAAAACTCTAAATAGCAAAACATTATATAAATATATTATTTTTAATGATAAGTGATTTTTTATCACAAAGTAATTATTAAAGCTTTACATGCTTTACATTAAGTAAAATGTTGATAAAGACTTTATCCTCTGTACTTCTTTTTTAATATAGTTTTGTAATAAGTAATTCTGTATTTTCTATATCTAAAATCTAAATATTATTATCAGCAATAATAATAGAGATAAAACCTGTCCAGATGATCCTGTGAAAGAAACTGGGTGATCCAATTCAGTTTTTTTTCAAATCCCCACTCAGGTTTCAAGCTGCAAAAAAAGATGAGAACTACTGTGCATTTGGAATGTTTCTGGTGAGTTTTTATTCTGAATGCCAGAGAAGGAGGTGGAGATTAACTTGTGAGTCTAGGCTTTCTGGATTTTGTGATGCAATGGGGTAAAACAAACATGGAATCGCACCTGCAGTTTCAGTGAGCCACACAGTCATGTTTGTTCACTTGGATATTAGAGATTCTCCATTTTTCATTCTTGGCTCACAGACAAATTTCTAAATTTTCGAGTAGCCATCATTGGGTTAAGGAGAAGGAGGACAAGGAAGTGAAGGTAAAGATGAGGGAGAAACATGTAAGCACGATGTAGCAAAATATAAGAGAATTTGTAAAAGAGTGTCACTTACTCAAAACATGAGGTTGACTTTTGAAAGACTAAACTCCTTAGAGGAGTAAGAAGAGAGAAGAAAATGACCCGACATAGGAGTCCTAGATTAGCTTAGGGGGACTTTTCAAAGAGGGATTTATAGTACTTGCTTTTGTCTTAACAGGTCACTTGGAAAACACCCTTTGTTTAAAAATCTCTGCCTTTAACTCTTGAGCAACCCTGAAAATCAAAAACAGATGACAGCTAAAGGAATAATGTAATAGAACTCACTTTTGGATTACTGTTTTTAAAATCTCACTTCTCTCTGCTCCCAGTCACATGCTCAATGATATTGTGTGGAATTTCCAGGTAAAGTTAATCACTGACAGCATTGAAATTTAGATAAGAGAATGAGAAAAGTGGACTTGGAGGTCATTATGTTAAATAAAATAAGTCAGATAGAAAGGCAAATCCTGTATAATATCACTTGTATGTGGAATCTGTAAAATACAACAAACTAGTGAATATAACAACAACAAAAAAACAGTCACACAGATGTTGAGAACAAACTAGCTGTTACCAGTGGGAAGAGGGAAAGAGGGAAAGGAAAGATAGGCTTAGAGGATTAAGTAGTACAAACTATCAGCTATAAAATAAGCTTCAAGGATATACTGCACAACACCAGGAATATTGCTAATATTTTATATCATATATAGTGTATATATATATATATATATATAATATTTTGACTACGCCAAAGTCTTTGTGGATCACAACAAACTGTGGGAAGTTCTTCAAGAGATGGTAATCCCAGACCTCCTTACCTGCTTCCTCAGAATCTGTATGCAGGTCAAGAAGCAACAATTAGAACTGGACAAGGAACAATGGATTGGTTCCAAATTGGAAAAGGAGTAAGTCGAGGCTGTATATTATCACCCCGCTTATTTGTTTTATATGCAGAGTACATCATGTGAAATGCTAGGCTGGATGAAGCCCAAGCGGGAATCAAGACTGTGAGGAGAAATATCAATAACCTCAGATATGCAGATGATGCCACCCTTATGGGAGAAAGCAAAGAGGAACTGAAGAGCCTCTTGATGAAGATGAAAGAGGAGAGTGAAAATGTTGGCTTAAAACTCAACATTGAGAAAACTAAGATCACGGCACCTGGACCCACAACTTCATGGCAAATGAATGGGGAAACAATGGAAAGAGTGAGAGGCTTTATTTTTC